GTAGCTGCCAGGGGCTGTAGCTGCCTCGGCGTGTAGCTGTCGGGGGGCGTAGCTGTCGCGGGGCGTAGCTGTCGCGGGGTGTAGCTGACGGGGGGCGTAGCTGCCCGGGCGTGTAGCGTCTCGGCGTGTAGCGGCCTCGGCGCGTAGCTGTCGGGGGGGTGTAGCTGTCGGGAGGCGTAGCGTTCTCGGGGCGTAGCTGTCGGGGGGCGGAGCTGCCTGGGCGTGTAGCGTCTCGGCGTGTAGCGGCCTCGGCGTGTAGCGGCCTCGGCGTGTAGCGTCTCGGGGCGTAGCGGTCGGGGGGCGTAGCGGCCTCGGCGCGTAGCGGCCTCGGCGTGTAGCTGTCGGGGGGCGTAGCTGTCGGGGGGCGTAGCTGTCGGGGGGCGTAGCTGTCGGGGGGCGTAGCGGCCTCAGCGTGTAACGTCTCGGCGCGTAGCTGTCGGGGGGCGTAGCGGTCTGGGCGCGTAGCGGCCTCGGCGTGTCGGTAGCGGACGCCGCACACCTGGAACATGTCGGTGCTGCTGTCGTGGTCGTACTCCACCACCACCGTCTGTGTGCGGGACAGCGTGTACGAGATGCTGTGCTGCTCCTTGTTGCTGACGGCCTTCAGGGACACAAGAGACGCACGAGAGTCACAACGGGCGACGTCACACAAACACTCTCACGAGACACCGAGCCGACGCTCGTGCAGTTGCCTCCAACAAGTAACACGCAAGTGTAACTCTCGCTCTCACCTTGGCGGCCTGCGGCGTGCAGGACGCGTGGACGGTGCTCGGCTTCACCCCGTTGGCCTTCTTCCTGCGGCACAGAGCGAAGCGGCTTTTCCGCCTCCCCTTGTCGCCGCTGGGCAGCGAGCCGTTGCACCTGAAGCACAGAACAGATTCATTCGTTCATTCACGGGTGCTGGTGGGGTGCTGGTGGGGTGCTGGTGGGGTGCGGCGGCCGAGGGTCCCGGACCGCTTGATCTCACTTCTGGATACAATAATACAAAAAAAAGCAAACAAAAAAGGTCTGAAGGCGCAGCAGCCGACCTCCCCGACCCACAGGCGCGCCCTTGTGAGCGCGGTGAAAGGCGCTCAGTCAGGAAGTCGGCTGCATTCTTCTTCGTCTCTGGACACATTTCGCCGGGTTTGAGCCGAATTTATGCGGATCCCAAAACAATACACACTCGCTACCGGAGGCGGAACAAAGGTCCGAGCTCTGGAAACAAAAAACAGACCAAGACCGACAAGGGCCCCTTGTTGGACAAGTCAAATTCAGGTCCTCATGAATTATAAATGCTGTACATATAAACTGTATTTCTATTTCTTTCCACTTATTTGTCTATTTCGTTTAGTTATTTTTTACCCCGGATTTCTAGTTATTGCAGCTGCAACAGGTGGTAAAGAGAAGTCACCAACTCTTAAAAACAGACGTCTTGCCTTCATGCTACGCTAGGCTAACCGACCCAGCGTAGGTCACTCAGAGGACCCTCATTCGCCTTGCGAGCGGCGCTTCGTGCAGGACCACATTATAAGCTCTAAAACGGCTCCACGTCGATGACTTAGGAGTTCGGACCGCGGCGGTTAAAAGCTCCTCACCCGAGCACGATGAGCTCTCCGTACTTCACCGGCCCTTTGGTGGATGCAGGGGAGGTGGAGATGTTTTCACTGCGGGGGAGAGACATCTGTGCAGACGTCGGGAGGACTTTCGGTGGGACCCTCAGAGCGCCGCCGTCCGAACGGGAATCGCCTGCAGACACAGAGGTACAGATGTGATGTATGACGATACAGTTGTTTCACAGATTTCATTTAACACACCTGCGAGGTGTGACGGGGGTCAACCGCCACCCCCGCCTCGCAGCCACGCCCCCATCGCTTTCCTCCTACGCCGCAACCGGCGCATTCGTTCCCAGATGTGAACCATCCGAACGCAAGAACGTGCATGAGTTTAATGTCGGCGACAACAAAAAGTCAACGCTGGCCCCCGCGAGCAGGTGGTCGCCGTGGCGACGGGGTTCGTTCAAAAGGAGGTTTCTGTTAAGCTGCCGGCAAAGTGAGCACCAAGCGGCTTCTTCTTCTTCTTCTTCTAACGCGCGCAGTCAAACCTCCGCACAGCCCACAGGCGTCGGTAGATGTGATGTCCTGCGTTAGTCACATTTTACGAGATTAGAAAAGAAACATAAAAGGCCTCTGTCGATATCTGGAGCAGCAGGTTTCCTCTTTTAACAGACACTCGAGATTAAAATCACAAGAGCAAATGGCGGAAAACAAACAGGGTTGACAACGTCCAATGACAGCGGAGGGCCGGATGTGGTGTGAAGATGGAAATCGTCCCGATGTGCTGAGAAACACACGGCGGCTGCTTGTTGCTCCTCTAATAGAACAAGTGCCCGAATCTAATATTTCTTCATGGTTTCTGTGTTATGTGTCATTTTTAACACGTACATTGGTGTTTTGTTCAAGAATTACACATTCGCCCCCCCGAGGCTGCTGATTGAATGATGACCGATGACGTCACATGTTGGATTATTCGCCTCAACGCGCTCAACTGCTTCGGTCATGATTCGGGAACGGGAGGATCACCTGGTTTCTTTGTGGTAGATGAAAGTAAATCAGAAAAAGGACCATTTCCTTGAGGAGGGGGGGGGGGGGGGGGGGGGGGCCTCTGTGTTTTAGGGGGGGGGCCTTTCCGCTCCCAAGGGCACAAGAGAGCCTTTACCCGCCTGGAAATGCTTTCTAAGAGGAATCCCCCTCTTTCCAAAAAACGCCCTTTTGGGGGGCCCCTTTCATCTCGGGGGGGGAGACCGCACCCCCGGACCCAAGAAACCCAGAAACCAAGAAAGATGGGGCTTGAAGGTGGGAGAAATCTTCTCTTATACATAAAACGGGAGATATAAGGAGCGCCGGCTTTTACTCGCGCTGTGTGGGATACCCCGGGCGACAAGGAACCTAGGGCGGCATTCAGGGGGGCCAATTCAAATTCTGGATTGGCGACAGCAATCTGTTCCTCTGCGTACATTTACACATACGTGACCACACAGTCTGACCGGGACGTGAAGCCTCCGCTGATTTAAAACGTGTGAATTATTGATCCGTGGCGGCGGCGCACAGGTAAACCACAGGTCTCACTAACGTCACCCGAGGCCGAGCGGGGGGGGGGGAGATCACCGTGGTAACCGGTCAGACAGACACGTAGCTGGATGTCTGGAATGTGTTCAGCAATAAATTCCCTTTATTGTTGTTGTTGTTGTTGTTGTTGCTGCTGCTCCTCGGTTCCGTCACCCGTTTAACTGCAACCGACCGGCACACACACACACACACAGCGAACCAACCTAGTTCTCCACGGCAACGGACGGAGACAAAGGCTCGCGTCTCACGTGTCAGACTGTCTCTGCGACCGGGGCGGAGGGTGGACGACGTGCGCGTTGGGTCATTGAGACAACGGCGTCACTGTGCACTGCTGACTCGAGTAGGAGCAGATTAAAGGGCGACAGTGAGGTCTCACTACTGCTTATTTAGTTCTGGAGGATTTTACTCAAAGATCGATGTCCTCATTTCATCAGTAGAACATTTAAATATTAGGTCATGATGTTGTACAAGAGCCCCACAGAGACCGAAGCCCCCCCCCCCAGACCAAGCTTCCCCCAGGTTTTAGGTCAACATGTGCGTGTGGGTGTCAATGGGCTTTGAATATGCGGGGGACAGTTGGACTAAAACAAAAAAGTTTAAGGTGGGGGACAATGGCAGCGTCTGTGGGGACAGATGCTGTGACGGGACGGGACGGGGGACGGGGGATGCTAATCAGTTTGTGTGGCCGGAACAAAAGGAGGGCAGCTGGACGGGGCCGTCCTGCTCAGGACAAGACGCGTGAAAAGGACACGTGCACGGATCCAGATTCATGAACCACCCTGTTCAGAGTCACAGGAGGGAGGAACGTAGAGACATCACGGCACAAGAGCATTTCAACATGCTCAGTTTATAACCTGGAAGAGTATGTTTACTTACAAATAAGCGCTTAAAAGGGACAAAGACAGACATTCAGCAGTACTTGTAGCAGTATAATACCAATTACATTTTAAGTCACAAGGGGAATATTTAAGTGAGTTCTACAGAGTCTTACTAAATAGTGTTAAAATAAAATATAAAAGCAGAATAAACGCCATGATGTCATCGCAGCTAAAGCGTTATTTGCCGTGTAGCTTTGACTAAATTATTGATTTTGAAGTGACGGATGTTTGGATTAAAAGAAGTAAAATATATCGATACGTTATTGGTGAATTCGTGTCGTTTATTACAACAGTAAAAAAAAGAGATAACGTTGGATGACGTTAACTTTAATGCATTTGGGTCGGTGGAAGTGAAGAACTTATTTAGAAAGTACTTAATTCTCCCTCTGACGTTAAATAGTCATCATTTAAGTCGTTAGTCGGAATGATTTCAGCGTTAAAACAACTTTTTTTTTTTTTACGTAGAAACTCACCGCTGGTCTGGAAGCTCTCGCGTGACCCGGATGTGTCGCCGGTTTCTGCGCACAGAAAGGCGGCTTTCTGCCGGCGGCCCGGTTCCTCCACGGCTCCTCACCCGCGCGGGACTCGTTAAACTGAACAAAAAGTCATCGAGGTTCGGCTCCGTCTGCGCCGCACCGACACCGACCCGAACGTACGCGGCATCTGCTTCCGGCGGGCTTTTCAAAGTAAAACCAGGAAGTTCTTGAGGTTGGGCCCAAGTGGATACAAACTTTTCAACAAACTAAGTTTCAACCATGAAGCTACATATAAGGAAAATAAATTGTGTATTTTTAATCCCACAGTTAAAAGAATCGGCATGTCCAAGTGATTTTGTACATATGAGATAGATTCAAAAACCGTAAAGTATTTACCATTTATATACGTACATGTATATTTACTGTACAAATGTACATTTTCACAGGGTAAACTAATCCCTATGCGTTTTGTGTTATGTGCTATCAAGAAGTACATTTGCCTAATGACATGCACCAAGTTACCGTAACAGATGTTTTATTGTGAAAGGAAGAATTCGTTCCTCCTTTACCTCAGCTGGTCTCTCTACCAGGTCAAAAAACCGACCGTGCATTATATGCTTCATGTTTTTTTTTTTTATAAAACATTAATAAAGTAATTATCACTACTTTAATTCACTGACACATTCGTTCTCGTCTGAAGATGAATTCCCTCGTGTCTCAAACCTTGGTAACGTCCTTTCCTGCTTTATCACCTGACAGTGACGCCTGTGTGGTTTCACCTCTGTTACCTGGTGCTCGGCGCCCCTAGCGGCAACCACACCATTAAACCAGAATAACACTGGATTAAAACGAAACACACCAATGAAATGCCTTCATCGATCATCAAGAAACAACAGTGCTGCGTTGCATGTGCTTGCACATGATGATTGGCATGTCCCAGAGTCAAAGTGATTATCATCAAGTTAAACTGATGTTCCAGCAGGAAGAACTGGTTTTGGTCAGACATGCAACGAATTAAATATAAACAGGCAGAGCAGGACCAGCCTGAGTACATGACCTATAATCATACACAGGACGAGTCACTTTGTACTCTCAGAGGTCCTGTTTTTACATTATAGACAGGTTAGAAGCACGTGTCAAAGGCCATCTGGTGTTGTGAAATCACCAGAAAGTACACGTATGCAAATGATTGAAATAAACCATCTGAACACAGATAATAATACAATTATAAATAGATAATAATCATATAGGTAATAATAAATGAAACGGATAAAAAACATCAGCCTGTAATATGTTTCAAGTGTTTGCATGAATGAAATAGAGACGTTAAAATGAACACATGAATAATATTTGCATGTTGTTTTTTCATTATATTCTGTTGGACAGGCGGCCTAATCAAATATTGAATTTGAATTTGAACATTTGGAAGAGAACCAGTTCATCAAGGCCTCCATACACATTTGAACACATCTAATAAGTAAACCAGCCAACACATTAATTACCCTCACGGCCTTGAACACCTTTGTAGGCTTTACCTCAGCGGGGCATCACTCCCGCGGTGCACAAGTAAGAAGAAGTGCGCGCGGTCCTCCGAAAAACCCCCCACAAGCCCCGCCTCCCTCACCTGTGCGCCCGAGATGCCGCATCACACCAAATGATACGTTCTCTTCCTTTTTTCTGCCATGTTTTTGGGGTAAGATTGTGCGTTCAGCTCCGCATCATTGCTGTTCCCGCACTCACCTTTGAACTAGAATAGGTGAGAGTTCGACTAAATTATCAAAACTTTCATGTATTATACAAATATTTTCAATTATTTTATTTTAAATATCTTGTCATTTTCATATACATATAAATGAAAGTGTGATTAAAAAATTCATTAATTTTAAAATTAATTAAATTTTTATTAGACCGCTCACTAGTGGTGAGTTGTGCTATTTTTAGAACAGGCCTGCGGGCGCCTCATATGGTCCTTGCGGGCGACCTGGTGCCCGCGGGCACTGGGTTGGTGACACCTGCTCTACACTATCTTGTCGTAAACCTTTTGCCGTCCCCAGTATCACCATGACTCCTGTCTTTACATATCTTTGCAACCTTCTCTCTGTTGAATTGTAACTCATCTGTATATCTATGTTAATATAGATGTATCCCTACTCTCTAAAAACTGATTATAACATGAATATATGTTGGACAATGAGAAACATTTTCCCTCCACAGTGATGAAAGTGGCTGTAGGTGCAGTGTACAGAATCTGAACCCAGTTAATAAATGATTCCCCAAAATGTTTGTAATGTGCTCATGAGAAATGTCGAGTTTACTTTGTCAGAGGCTTTTCCTGCGTCCAAAGAGGCTGCGATGGTTCCGCTTGTTGTAATCATGAGTCCTTTATTAAATTAAACTGTCTGCGTGTGTTGGTGGAGGAACGTCTACCTTTGATAAAGCCGGTTTGATCTGGACGAATTGTGGATGGGGTGACTTTTTCTGATCTGTGAGCTGGTGCCTAACTGATGATTTTAATATCTACAGTGAGGAGTGAAATAGGACGTTAAGTATGGAAGAGTTGGATCTTTGTTTGGTTGGACGAGGACTGACATACGGAAATTGCAAATTTTGTTTTTCTCTCAGTTATCATCGGTGCTTTGTTATTGGCCATAAGGTCTTTATGTGTTAAAGGTGAGTCACGTATGTTAGTTTGTTCTTGGTTAATCTGTGGTAGATCAAAGGTGTTGAGAAATGAAATCATGGCTTCTGGATTTGGGTCCTTTTTAGATTAATGTATATTGGCATGAAAACTTATGAAGATATTATTCTGTCATCGGGTGAATTTGTGGGGTTTCCTTCTGAGTGCTTAATGATTGAGTTTTTTATTTTTTCATTTAATTTAACTAGATTTGCCAAATATTTACCAGCTGTATTGCTATGGTGAAAATGGTCTTGTCTAAGTCTGTGTCTTAGGAATTGAATTTTATTATTTATAATTTCATTTATTTGGAATTCATACTTCCTTAATGTGTTACCAATATTGGGTCACTTGCATTAATAAAGTCGATTGATTTGTTTTTATTTTCATTTTTTGTAAACTTGAATGAGATGATTATTCCTCTTAAAGCTGCTTTCCTTGTTTCCTGTAGGATGGTCGGTGAAACTGGGGAAGCACGTGTTTCTAGGAAGGATGCCCACTCTTTTTTAATCACACTGTTAAAGTGAGGATCTTTGACCAGCGACGTGTTGAAGCGCCATCTAGTGACAGATTTCGGTGTTAAATCTGTTCCATATAAAAGTCACCAGCATGCTCACTAATAATGAGAGGATGAGTATTCAGGTCGGAAATATTCAATATAATTGAATTGTTGCTGAGGAAGAAGTACTTTCCGATACTTAAATAATAATTTGCTGTTTGTAGCAAGACTTTACTATCTGATTGACACTCCAGAACATCTCTACACTTTTGTTTCCATCCTTCACAATAAAAGCCCCGGATACCTTCACTGGGACACTGTTAGCTTGCTAGCAGCATCCTTCAGGTCGGGGAGCTGCAGGACAAACAAACTGAGGTCAGACCTCACAGGAAGTCGTCACACGGTGAACAGTAGTGAGATCTGATCTGAGAGCCAGCTGATCTTCATCTGCATGCTGGGAGCAACACTCCATCAAAACTCCATCGTCCAATAAGGAGCCAGAGAAAAGCCACCAGCTGATCACTGAAGTAGAACTAGATACATCCTCACTCTTTCTTACTATCTTAACATGCTTCATCTTAATGGCCGTTGCCTTAAAACTGTCAGGATGAAACAGGAATGGAAGATGTGCTAACTTCAGAATAAAAGCCTCAACCGTGTGCTGACTAGAAATATGATTATTATTAGTTATACAGAACAAAGTCCTTAATCTCCAATTTTACTACCTTTGGTGTAAGTTGTTCGAACAGCGGACTTTGTCTCTCTCTGCATACTGTTGATGACTGAATCCTCCAGCAGTCAGCATGAATCAGAGGAGGAAACAAACCTCACCAGCTGATGACGCTCCAGTAGGAGGCGGAGCTACAAGGAGGGGCGGAGCTTCGACGTCACTCTCCAGAAATGAAAGTGAAGTTGGTCAGAGAGGCAGACGCGCTGCAGTGAAGACAAGTCTCCGTGTTTCTCTGAGAGAAAAGTCAAAGTGACGTCATCAGGTGTTCCTCAGCAACACAGCAGAGTCTCTTCAGAACACTGGTGAGTACAGCTGGTCACATTTACACCTTCAACAAGCAGGAAGAACACACAACTTGTACTTTACTCAGGCAGGAAGTTCCTCTCTGTTCACTTCCTACTTGATAGAATGTTAACAATAAAACCACGTGTGTTTATCCACAGTCCCACGATACAGAAACTCAGTCTAACAGCTTCAAACTGTCCAGGACTTCAGTCACTTGGAGCTGAATCTCTGTGCTTTAAACTTTAGTGTCTCTGTTTCCTCTTGGTGGATCAAGTTAAACGTGTTCCACAGTGAACCTGCTGGAGGCTCAAAATAAAACTATTCATGAAAACTATTTTAAATAAAACGTTGTTCTTCTCTTCCACAACATGTGTAGACATGGCTTCTGCAAACTATGGTCCATCTGAAGATCAGTTCCTGTGCTCCATCTGTCTGGATGTGTTCACTGATCCAGTCTCCACACCATGTGGACACAACTTCTGCATGAACTGCATCAATGAACACTGGAACACCAGCGACCAGAACCTGTGTCCAATGTGTAAGAAGGACTTCATCACCAGACCTGATTTGAGGGTCAACACCTTCATCTCTGAGATGGTCGTTCAGTTCAGACAGTCTGCTCAGCAGAAAGCCAGCAGCAGCAGCTCAGAGCAACAAGAGTCCAAACCAGGAGAAGTTCCCTGTGACGTCTGCACTGGAACCAAAGTGAAGGCCCTCAAGTCCTGCCTGGTGTGTCTGGCCTCCTACTGTGAGACTCACCTGGAGCCTCATCTGACTATGTCAGGTCTGAAGAGACATCAGCTGATGGACCCTGTGGAGAACCTGGAAGGCAGGATGTGTACGAAGCACGATAAACCTCTGGAGCTGTTCTGTAAGAGCGACCAGACGTGTGTCTGCATGCTCTGCACTATTTTAGACCACAAGAACCATGATGTTGTTCCTCTGAAAGAAGAATATGAAGAAAAGAAGGTCGAGCTGAAGAAGACAGAGGCTGAAATTCAGCAGATGATCCAGAAGAGAAGACTGAAGATTCAGGAGATCAAACACTCGGTTGACCTCAGTGAGGAAGATGCAGGCAGAGAGAAAGCAGAAGGTGTTCAGGTCTTCACTGATCTGATGGAGTCTGTTGAAAGAGGCTTGAAGGAGCTCCTCAAAACAATAGAAGAGAAGCAGGAAACCACAAAGAAACAGGCTGAAGCTTTCATCAGAGAGCTGGAAGAGGAAATCTCTGAGCTGATGAACAGGAGCGCCGAGGTGGAGCAGCTGTCTCTCTCTGAAGACCACCTCCATCTTCTCCAGTCCTCAAACATCCATCAGCCACCACCCACCAAGGACTGGACAGAGGTCAGTGTTTGTCCTTCATATGAGGGGACTGTGGTGAGAGCTGTGTCTCAGCTGGAGGAGACACTCAGTAAGAAGATGAAGAAGTGGTTTGCTGAGCTGAAGAGGGTCCAGATGTTTGCAGTGGATCTGACTCTTGATCCTCAAACAGCTCATCGTCAACTCATCCTGTCTGACGATGGGAAACAAGTGAAACTTGATGATGTGGAGAAGAAGCTCCCAAACAACCCAGAGAGATTTATTAATGGTTTCTGTGTTTTAACAAAGCAGAGTTTCTCTTCAGGCAGATTCTACTTTGAGGTTCAGGTTGAAGGAAAGACTTGGTGGTATTTAGGAGTGATCAGAGAGTCAGTCGAAAGGAAGGGATTCATCTCACTGAGTCCTCAGGATGGTTACTGGATAATATGTATGAATGGAAATAAATACTTTGCTTATGATGATCCTGCAGTTATTCTCTCTCTGAAGTCTGGTCCTCAGAAGGTGGGGGTGTTTGTGGACTATGAGGAGGGTGTGGTCTCCTTTTATGACGTAGAAGCTGCAGCTCTCATCTACTCCTTCACTGGCTGCTCCTTCACTGAGAAGCTCTTCCCGTTCTTCAGTCCTGGTGTTTATAACGGTGGTAGAAACTCTGCTCCTCTGATCATCTCTCCTGTCGGAGTAAATTAATCATTCTCTGATTTCATGTGATGATTTTATTCATTAAAGGGAATAAATGTACATATTTTATATAAATACTGTATGTTTTTCTCTTTATTTCTGTACCATGACGCCTTATGGAGAATATCTATTTCAACCTTTTGAATCCAGACTGTTTTATTTTCACTAAATATCCAAAGCTGAAGTTTGACTTTTAGTAAATCAGCAAAACAAATTATATCTGATGTGAAGCCTCTGAAAACATATTGTTGAATATTTAATATTCTCATAAACGCCTCTGACCTTTCCATCATGTTCACAGAATACACTTTGTGTTGTTGTTATTGTGCCTGAAAGTGAATTAATAATATAGATGCAAATGTTCTTTTTGTTGTCACTTTGGCTCATTATGATTTGTTTTGTGAAAATGTTTAAGATGACAAATAAAGATAAGTGATTGTAAACAAAGAAACATACATTTATACCTTATAAATAACTTGAACACTGACAAGAAATGACAAGTTTACACAAGTTATATTCTATGAACAATGAATTATTCCCTGAGGCTCTTTCACAAACTGAAGAGGTTTATTCAGAAGCATAATGCTGATATATTCTTACATTTATCAAGTTACTCTCATACTGCATAAAAGGTCAAAAGACAAAGTTAATTAATAATATAGATGCAAATGTTCTTTTGGTTTGAAAAGTGGTTTGAATTATTTAAAGTCACTTTGTCTCATTTTGATTTGTTTTGTGAATATTTGTAATAAGACTTAAAAATAAAGATGAGTGATTGTACAAAAAAAGGAAACATACATCTCTTGAACAAGTTACTTTTGCCTCATAAATAACTTGAACTGAACACTGAACAGAAATGACGGGTTTACACAAGTTACATTTATATTCATGTTCATTAAAAACGTCTTGTTTAATGCAGGAAACATGTCCGAGTTCTTTGTTTATTGATCACGTGACAATTGGTCAGTGTGAACGACACGAGTTCCACAGAAAGATCAATTCTAACGTGAGTTAATACACGAGGTTGATGAAACTGTTCAGTGGCTTCAGATACTGAGGAGAATCCACTCGACTGAGAACCAGCAGCAGAATAATAACCAAATACAACTGTAATTATACACAAACGTTGATCCACAGTTTTCCTGCTGTAGTAACAAAGTATTTATTTGGTGCCGGAGAGCAAAACCATGAACTTAAATGATGTAACAAGAGTTTAGCAGCTGAGCTGTAGTTGTTGGAGCTGCACAGGCTGTTATTCATGAAGCAGCTTCATGAGTTTATGACGTCATACGTGTTTGTCTCCTTGATGACACGTGCACAGCGACTGGACCACGTGGAGGAGGCGTGACCTCCTTTAGATACAAGATCACCTCACGAGACAACTTCATAGTTCCTTCACGTTTCTTTTTATTGTCCTAAAGAGGGTCGTCCTCTTTAAAATGACTAAACAAAACATTTGATCACTTTTTAAAAGTCGAGAACGAACAGAAAGACGACCGATGACAAAGAAAAACACACAATAAATACTTTGAAGCATCCGAGCAAAGAGAAGATTCCTGTTTGTGATCTCATGAGAAGCAGGAAGACGGTCGGTACCAACACGTCAGACGGTGTAACCCGGGTACATGAGGCTGTCAGCACGTGTGCTGCACCACCCAGAAGGAAGGAGCCCCTTCACGGTAACACGCTCCACCTGCAGAGTGCACGCCTACGTCATGACCCAGAGACTCTGAACGCCACAAAACGGCTCATTCAGGTTTTTCATCCACATGTAGTTTTTCTCGTGTTGTTTCTGTGTGGAGAACAGAAGTAAGTAAAAGGTCAAATTCATTTATAAAGTGCTTTCCACAGACCGAGATCACAAAGTGCTACAGGGCAGGAATTTAACACAAAGAGGTGTAACACAATACGGCCTCAAAAGCTCGATCACCAGGGGTCTTGAGGGGCACGAGGAGGGTGGAGGACATCGCGGAGAATCTGGAGTTTCGGCTGCAAGGTGAAGCGTGAAGCTTTGGATGAGCGCTGTGACGTCCGTCACGCGGCCCAGCTGCTCATGTCTCCCCGGTGGACGACGAGCGACTTCAAGCTTACGGAGGAGCTGGCAGCAATGCGGCCAATGAAAGGAACCACGACGGGGAGGGATCTGTTCACCGAAGCAAACGCATGCAGGGACTAACCGGGACTCCGATGGGACAGACTGGCAGGGGTCACCACGGATGGATGTCTGAATCTGACTGGGAAGAATGTTGGGCTTTTGAACAGAATGCAAGATAAAGCGAGTGAACTCACCGCAGAGCAGAAATTGGTGTTCATACATTGTGTTATTCATCAGCAAGCGTTGTGTAAGTCAGCGCTTAAACTCGGGCATGTGGTTGATGTTGTTACTACAGTTGATTTCATGGGAGCGCGAGCATTGAATCACAGGCAGTTTGTTTCACTATTGGAGGAGCGAGAGAGCGAACATGCTGATGTCCGGTACCACACAGCTGTCACATGGCTCAGTCCGGGCAAAGTGCTGAAAAGGTTCTGAGTTCTGAAATCAGAGGTAAAAGAGTTTTGTGAGATGAAAGACAAAACCACCCCAGAGCTGTCTGATAAGGACCGGATGGCAGATTGAACGTTTGCTGTTGCTGTGACTGCAGTGATGAATGAACTGAACACACAGCTGCAGGCCGAGGGCCTCTTTGCTCATGAAATGCACATCCATGTGAAAGCCTTCGTGACAAAGTTGCAATTCATTTCAAGGCAACTGGGCAGCAACAATGTCAAACACGTGAGAACCCTGAACGAAGTCAAACCATCATCTGATCACCGGTACTCATCCATGTTAGGAGCACCGCGTGATGAATTTAAGGCGTTTTCAAGATTTCAAAAAGGTTGAGGATGAAATGCAGCTGGTTTCCTCTCCCTTTACCTGCAGTGTTGATAGTGCACCCACTAATGTTCAGCTTGAACTCACTGACCTGCAGGCTGATTCACTACTGAAAGAGCACTTTAAGTCAGCATCACTGCCAGAGTTCTACTCTGCTCTCAAGGAGGAGAACTTTCCAAACACGAGGAGACGTGCTCAGAAGATGTTGGTTCTCTGTGGATCCACCTACATGTGTGAACAGACATTCTCAGTCATGAAGTTTACCAAATCCAGGTACAGATCCTCTCTCACTGATGAACATCTGTCAGCTGTGCTTCGCATCTCCACCTCTGACATTCAACCTGACTTTGATGGACTTGTTGCAGCTCCACAGAGACTGGATTTCTCACACTGAATGAGAAAAGAAGAACTGAAGAAGACTAAAATGTGGGAATATAAAAAAGTGAAATGGGACACTTGATGTGTTTCTTTTCTTTTTTTGCACAGTTCTGAAAATGTTTTAATACAGGCATGTAAAGTCAAAAAGGCTACGAAACTGGGACTGATGATGTGGTGTCTTTAGAAAGCTAAGAAAATCCGTGTTTCAATAGTATATGAAACTCAAAATGCCCTTTGTTATTAATGTGGCTGAAAATGAGTCAAATGTTTCACATTTTGAAAATTATATTTGAATAAATTATACTTTTGAAAGCTAACCTCACCTTTGAATTGCCAAATAATAACATACACTCTTACCAGCGGTTAAAACAATGCCATTTACTGCTTTTAATATAGAAAAAAATGTATATTATGCATAATTGAGTTCGGCATTTTGGCCTGGCCCCCCAAAATATTTTCAGTTTCTCATTTGGCCCCCTGGGAAAAATAATTGCCCCCCCCTGCTCTACCAGGTCAAAAAAACGACCGTGCATTATATGCTTCATGTTTTTTTTTATAAAACATTAATAAAGTAATTATCACTACTTTAATTCACTGACACATTCGTACTCGTCTGAAGATGAATTCCCTCGTGTCTCAAACCTTGGTAACGTCCTTTCCTGCTTTATCACCTGACAGTGACGCCTGTGTGGTTTCACCTCTGTTACCTGGTGCTCGGCGCCCCTAGCGGCAACCACACCATTAAACCAGAATAACACTGGATTAAAACGAAACACACCAATGAAATGCCTTCATCGACCATCAAGAAACAACAGTGCTGCATTGCATGTGCTTGCACATGATGATTGGCATGTCCCAGAGTCAAAGTGATTATCATCAAGTTAAACTGATGTTCCAGCAGGAAGAACTTACTGGTTTTGGTCAGACATGCAACAAATTAAATATAAACAGGCCGAGCAGGACTAGCCTGAGTACATGACCTATAATCACACACAGGACGAGTCACTTTTTACTCTCAGAGGTCCTGTTTTTACATTATAGACAGGTTAGAAGCACGTGTCAAAGGCCATCTGGTGTTGTGAAATCACCAGAAAGTACACGTATGCAAATGATTGAAATAAACCAGCTGAACACAGATAATAATACAATTATAAATAAATAATAATCATATAGGTAATAATACATAAAACGGATAAAAAACAGCAGCCTGTAATATGTTTCAAGTGTTTGCATGAATGAAATAGAGACGTTAAAATGAACACGTGAATAATATTTGCATGTTTTTTTTTCATTATATTCTGTTGGACAGGCGGCCTAATCAAATATTGAATTTGAATTTGAACATTTTGAAGAGAACCAGTTCATCAAGGCCTCCATACACATTTGAACACATCTAATAAGTAAACCAGCCAACACATTAATTACCCTCACGGCCTTGAACACCTTTGTAGGCTTTACCTCAGCGGGGCATCACTCCCGCGGTGCACAAGTAAGAAGAAGTGCGCGCGGTCCTCCGAAAAAAAACCCACAAGCCCCGCCTCCCTCACCTGTGCGCCCGAGATGCCGCATCACACCTGTCTGACCCGCGAGGACGCGCCGCGACTCTCAGGTGAGCTCCGTCCGCCTCACGCGCACCTTGCTTACTTAAATCCTCGGATTCTCGGATGGATTTCTATCTTTGATATCAACACTAATCCGCCACGCGGTGCGACTTTATACCTTTAGACCGCTTCCTTTTGTTTTTTTAACACCGTGATGACGTTTCTTCTGAAGGATTCAGAATCACGAGTAAGATCATTTTTAAAGTTCATTTACGACTACATTCGATTCATAGTGCGTCTGTAAGCAGAAAGTCTCATAAGATCTGTGGTTTTCAGTGTTGACAAACAAAAATAAAACGATTGTGAAAGAAAAGAAGAGGCGGAAACATCGAGATGAGTCACAAGATGATGGCGCTGCACACTGTGTGCGGATGAAATTAAGGGGTTAGTTTTCATTACCTCACAATGTTTCAATCACCAAATGCTTTGAGACAAAGTCACTTCCTTTTTTAATCAACACTTTAATCCATTAAATATGAATGAATGCGTGTCATTTAAAGATATTAAGACGCTCATTTAGTAATGGAACGAAGACTTGAGGCCATCAAGTCCTGCTATTCAGAAAAAAATAATTTATTATCGCCCAAATTAATGTAAATCAACATGTTTTATTTGTAGGGTGCAAAACGTCAGTTTACAACATGATGCCTTTCCAGATCAAAATCGGTGCATTAACTTAAATGGAAAATTGTGCATATTGACCGTGTGGTATTGATCCAGTATTTGGACACTTGCTGCATCTTTTTTTATGTTTTTTCATATTTTTAGAGGCTTCACTTTTCTTTAGAAACCTGACAGAAGAATCAAAATGTCAAACGACCACCAACAGGGCGAACCTGCCCCCCGGTGAGTTTGGTACATATTGTTGATGTGGCATAAACTGCGGTGTTAATCTAAAGTTGACATGAAGGTGTCTGTGTTCTCCACAGCAGACGCTTGGTGCCCTGCATCATCATCTTTGTGCTCGGTGTGGGATCTCTGCTGCCATGGAACTTCTTCATCATCGCGTCTCAGGTTTCCCTTTTTTTTTACTTAAAATGAATATTAAGAAATGTGTAAAGCACAAACTCTTCACGTCGCTTCACTCGTAACATCGGAGCTTCTCGTGTCGCACTGCGGCTCTTCGTTGCTCTCGATGTTCCCAGATAGAACGACGGAACACACGGCCGGACATTTAGGATGTAGAAACCTACGCTCAATACCACGAACATTGGTCCCAGACATTCATTTTCTTAACAAAGATGTCGTTTGTTTCTCCATTTCTGGAAGTATTTCCAACGGCGCCTGGCAGCAGAACCAAGCACCACGTCGGGGGGCGGAGGCTACAGCTATGAGCTCTGGATGCCCCTGGCTGCCAATCTGCCCCTGGTGGTCTCCAGCCTGCTCAACTGCCTCTGCACCAGGTGAGTTCCTGACACAGCGGCGTCGGTTCTGACGCGTCCGACCGTCACGTGACGCGTTTCCTCTCCCCGACTCTGCGCAGCGGTTGTGGGCGTGGCCTTCCAGCGGCTCTGCGCAGGTGTTGTGGGCGTGGCCTTCCAGCGGCTCCGTGTGGGAGTTGTGATCTTAAACACTGCCCGCTCGTGGTCTCCACCATGGTCTTGATCAGCGGGTTATTTGCTGCCACGGCCGTCCTGGTGGATGTCGACATGGAGCCGCGCATCTTCTTCTACGTCACCATGGCGACCATCGTGGTCATCAACAGTGGGTGCATGCACACACACACACACACACACACACACACACACACACACACACACGGTGGTCGATATCCCATGAAACCCCTCTGAAATTTCATGTTCCTTGATATGTGTGTGTGTGTGTCAGGAATCAGGAATCAGGAAACATTTATTGCCAAAATATGTCAAACATACAAGGAATTTGTCTTGGCGGTTGGTGCGTGAGAGTAGACAGTGTGACAATAGACAACAAGACAGCAGTGCACAAGTAATAAAATAAAATGAAATGCAATGGGTTAGTGGTATACGGCTATGGGTCAGTATAAAACAAGAGAATAAAGTTAGTTAAAAATTAAAATATTAAAAAAGTAAAAAATATTAAGCATAAAGTGCACTAGCGAACAAGTGACAGTGATGAGTGACGACAAAGTGAACAATGACAGTTAGAGTGACATGTGCAGTGTGAAGGGGAGTGACCGGTGTGTTATAGTCAGTCAGTGGGGGACCGGCTCTGTTGATGAGCCCGACTGCCGACGGGAAGAAACTGTTGGTGTGGCGGGAGGTCTTAGTCCTGATGGACCTCAGCCTCCTGCCCGATGGAAGGGGCACAAACAGGGTGAGAGGGGTCGGCCGCCATCTTTCTAGCTCGCTTCAGAGACCTGGAAGAGAACAAGTCCTGCAGGGACGGCAGATTGCAGCCGATCAGCCTCTCTGCAGAGCGGAGGACGCGCTGCAGCCTGCCCTTGTCCTTGGCTGTGGCTGCAGCGTACCAGACGGTGATGGAGGAGCAGAGGATGGACTCCATGATGGCTGTGTGTGTGTGTGTGTGTGTGTGTGTGTTTGTGTGTGTGTGCAGTGTCCAACGGCGTGCTGGTGGGGAGTCTGTTCGGTGTGGTCAGTCTGCTCTTCCAACAGCACTTGCGTTGGTTCATGATCGGTCAGGGGGCGTCCGGGCTCATCGCTGCACTCGTGATGCTCGTCTCCATCTTAAGTGAGCAAAAGGACAAATTCTTTGTTATTATTTTTGAACTGGTGTTATTTTATAATGAAATTCTTCGTGGCCTTTTTAGTTTCAGATCCCAAACTGTGACATAATTTTATTGAGTTGGTGAAGCAATAACTGCGAGAGTTATACAAAGAAGAATGAATCACATTTCCTGTATTTGGTAAAATGAAGCTCTTTTGCTGTGCAGGTGGAGTACCTGAGCAGGCGTACTTCATCATCCCGTGTGTCGTCGCCGCGGTAACCTTGGCGTGTTACCTGTGTCTGGGGATGTCACCAAGGACACACACACACGGCGACGGAGTCGACTCTCCTCAGCAGGACTCACAGGAGCCCCCCGGCAGCACAGGCAGGCTCCTCTCACCCTGCAGCCACTCCCGTTATTTAAAGTCTTTTATCGTCGCATTCCAGCTGATACGAGCTCAGGAGCGGCTCGTCATCAATCGGCGATCAGCGTCAAAAGCAACACGACCACAGCCGAGAAACGTCACGGTGGCAGTGAAAGTCCTCACACCGGCTCTCTGCACAAAAAACACCTTACGTTACTTAAATGATTCAATTATCTGCTTTTATTTTCAGAGGAAAATACTGTACTTTTCACTGCAACACACTTATTTAAATTACTCTGACTTTGCAGATTGAGAATAAAGATATGAAACAATCAACACATAAATAGAGATTTATTATATTTATTCATTACCAGCTGCGACACAAACGCATCAACAATCACATTTAAATAACACAAGACGTATTACTCTTAAATGATGAGACGTCTCTGGTATTTATTTGACTGAAGCAGAATATCCGAGTCCTTCTTCCGCCGCTGGCTGCAGCTGATTGGATGATGCCGTTAGTAACTTACATGCCGGGTTCCTTTCTCTTTAAAGAAATGACGGCGTTGAGCAACAGCAGCGAAGCCCCCGAGGACCAGAGGAGGGACGAGAATCAGGAGCGATGCTCCGGCTGGCGTGTCTTCAAGGAGGTGAAGGATCAAACTGAGGACGCGTCACTGATGTTTGATTCACAGCAAATCACAATAAAAAAAATATCATATATGAAATATTCAGTTCGCAATGATATAAAACAGAAAAAACAGCAATTTAAGAAGCTGGAATCAGGTTTGATTAAAGATTACACAACATCACTTCTAACTTTGAAAGCTGCACACGTCTCTCAGATTCACCATTCAACTTTAATTTGGGGTTTCTCAGTAGTTTTAATGCGTGTTTAAGCAATAATTATGAATGGAAACTGTTTTTTTTAACCTTTTGGTCCCTTTCCAGGCGGTTTCCGTGGCGTTCCTGTGTTTTAGCGTCGGTTACGGCTTCTTTTTGAATGTTAAGTCGTCGTGTGTCCCTCAGATCAGGTGGATGGCTGCGTACGTGATGGCCGTGTTCATCGTCACCCTGTCGGTGTTTCCTGTGATCACGAGCAGAGTTCAGACCGTCTCCAAGGACAACGCCGCCTGGGGTAGGCCGCCGTAACCAAGGGTTACGGCGTTGCGGACAGCCTGCAGGGCTCTTGTTTCAGGTCTGAGCTTAATGGTCATCGGTGTGTTTTAGCCTCACGCCACCTGCTCTCCGTCCCTCGCAGACAAAGTGTTCACCTGCGTTTGCTGCCTCATCGTTTTCAACGCCATGGACCTCTTGGGCCGCATCGCCACCATTTTCGTCCAATGGGTGAGCAGCGCCGGCCACTTTCACCTTTAACCTTTTGAACGCAGCCCCTAAATGTCGGCGGTGTGCGCGCAGCCCTCGAAGGAGAGCCGTTGGCTTCCCATCGCCGTGGCGTCTCGCGGGCTCTTCGTCCCTCTGCTCATCATGTGCAACGTGCAGAACTTCAGATCTCCCGCCGTCTTCCGCAGCGACGGTTTCTTCGCCTTCATCATGGCGCTGTTCGCCGTCTCCAACGGGTACCTGGCGAGCCTCTGCGAGGCCTACGCTCCACGGTGAGTCTGCAACAGGAAGCGGTTGTACTTCACGGTGCAGCAGGACGGGGTTCTTCTGCTCAGACTCCTCGGAAGTCCAAGTTTGCTTGAAAACCAACCAACCCGACCGACGCAGCAGGAGACCCGTGGCTTTAACGTGACCATGAACCGACCCTGTTCACGCGGACGCACGTGGTGACTGCGCTTTGTGTCCGTCAGGTTGGTGCGGGGTGCAGACTGCGAGGCGGCCGGCCTGGTGATGAGCCTCTTCATGGTCCTGGGCCTGTCGCTGGGAGCGTTTCTCTCCTTCTGGTACATGAGAGTTCTCAGCTGTGATCTCAGCAGCTCCCATTGATTCCAGGTTCGCGTCCACATTGCTCCTCTCAACCTCCGCAAACGTGTAGCACGATGGCCGCGCGCGTGACGAAGACGCGACGCCCTCGTTTCCAAACTGATCCGTTTCCAGAGCGCCGAAGAGGCTCGGCGTGAACGTAGCAGAACACGTGCGTTTTGAAGGGGAAACGCTGTGTGTGGATGTCGCCTCAGAATAGTGATCACTGGTGGGAACTGTTTGTAATCTACAGAATTATAAAGCTCAAGCTTCTTTTTAACTGTTTTAATAAGGGATCGTTTAATTGGACTTTTTGGTGGTTTCGCTGTGCAATGGTGTTGTCTTTTTGTGTCCTTTTTAAAAAGCAAAATAAGTTTCTCTGGCTCTCATAATAAAGTAAACAAATTGTGTATTTGTACATCGGACGACGCGGCTGTGACTTTGTGTATAAACAGGCCACAAAGTTTGACTCAGTCAGTGGCGGCTGGTCCATAAAGGGCCCCGGGAGCCACAAAAAGAGATTATATATATATATAAATACATATTACAAAGTGTCAGTATTTGTGTTTTAGAAAGTAAGGGACATGAAGCACTTTGTGGAGAGAAAATAAGAATAGAAAACACCAGGACACACATGGATCACTCTGTCAAGCTCGACATGTTAAGTTCACATCGCTACCCAGCTGCGATGGACACGGAGTCGCGGTGAGGACACAACCAGGACGTGGATGAAAACAGGCACATTTGATCCAAAATAATTGATTGTGTTGGTTCCCTGCTGAATCCTTAATGATTGAGATTGTCGGTGTAAGTTATTGGGTCTAATTTGATTTACTTCCTATTTCCCAGATGTTCTGCTATGGTGAAAATGTTGTGGTCTGTGTCTTAGGAATTGAGTTTTATTATTTATAATTTCATTTATTTGGAATTGATACATTCTTAATTTGCTTTGGGTTTCCAATGTTGGGTCAGTTGCTTTGACGATTTCAAGTCGATTGAATCGTTGTTCAGCTTCTTCTTCAGGATTCAGGAACATTTATTGCCAAAATATGTGAGACATGAAAGGAATTTGACATGTGGGTCTGTGCATAACATCAGACAGTAAGACAACGGGACAATGGACAACAAGACAAATGACAAAGTGCAAGAAAAATGCCATGTTCAATTTACAATTTAACTCTACAGTATGAAATAAAGGGCAGGGATCTTCAACTAAAATGTCAAGAGGTCCAGTTAGAGAAAGGTTCTAGAAGCAAAGGTCGGGAAGATCATAATGTGACTACTCAGTGTGATTAAATAAAGGAATAGAGTTGTATCAACATTTGCATGTAATGAATACATGACTAACAAATGAATCATGTATGATTCTAAAACGCTTGACAATATTTATTATCACGTATTAAAGAACTGAACATATATGTGTGACTGCAAATATAAATAATGTTCTCTCAATTAACTTAATAAAAGTAGGGCTTTATTTCAAAAAATAAAATGAAATATTCTCCATGTTCAAATAAAGTGCTTCAATTCATTAAAAAATAAAATAACTGGAAGAAAAGCTTGAATTTGCTTCACATTAGGACTTGACAGTCTCAGCAAATTATAAATAATAAATCTACAAACATCTGAACACTTTTTAGCAATTGAACAGTTTAATAGAATATAGATATTCACTCTCCCACTTTTTTGGTAAGTGGGATAATTAAGATCTATTTTTTCCTGCCAGGATGTTAAACCTGGTCTTAATGCATCAGGGCCGTTCTCCTCCTCACGTGGAGGAGCTCGTTGCGCCTCATGATGACGTTTCAAAGGGTTCTGAGCGTATGAGACACTTGTTTAGTGCTGCAGTGGGAAACATGAACAGAAACCAGTCCGTCCATTATGGATTAAATGCTCTTCTTTCAGTGTCCATTTGTTCCTCATTTTTCTCACCCGTCCCTTTCTCTCGCTTTCTCTGTCTCACTCGTCTTTATCTCAAATTTCGCTATTTTTCTTTTCTTCCAACGGTCTTTTTATTTGTCATTTGTCGCTCCCCCTCTCGCCTGTCCGCAGCATTGAGACGTCATCGTCCGGCCTGGAATACAACGACTCGATTGGTCGAGTAGTATCACGTGGGATGGTTTAACTTGAATGCAATTGGTCTGTTCTTTAAGTCACTACCGTAAAGACGACCAAAGCTGCGCAGTCGAAAAGTGCGCCGTCACGTTTAAATCACAACCGTCTTTTTCTAGCTTTTGGTCCGGCTCCGGTTGTGACAGCTTCTGGGTCCGGATCCGGACCGCGGTCCTCTGGGTTAGGGGGAAATAGAATAGAAATAATGAATAACGATAAACAGGAAATTAAAGTTAGTTAAAAATGAAGTGCACTGCCAAGGATAACCATACACGACTGTGTTGTGAGTGACAAGTGACAAGTGCATATGGAATGTGAAGGGAGTGACCGCAGGAAAATGTCACAGTCAGTCAGTCACTGTGTTATTCTTCCTTTAAAAGTTAAACCTTGGTGTAAGTTGTTCGAACAGCGGACTTTGTCTCTCTCTGCATACTGTTGATGACTGAATCCTCCAGCAGTCAGCATGAATCAGAGGAGGAAACAAACCTCACCTGCTGATGACGCTCCAGTAGGAGGCGGAGCTACACGGAGGGGCGGAGCTTCTACGTCACTGTCCAGAAATGAAAGTTCGTTGGTCAGAGAGGCAGACGCGCTGCAGTGAAGACAAGTCTCCGTGTTTCTCTGAGAGAAAAGTCAAAGTGACGTCATCAGGTGTTCCTCAGCAACACAGCAGAGTCTCTTCAGAACACTGGTGAGTACAGCTGGTCACATTTACACCTTCAACAAGCAGGAAGAACACACAACTTGTACTTTACTCAGGCAGGAAGTTCCTCTCTGTTCACTTCCTACTTGATAGAATGTTAACAATAAAACCACGTGTGTTTATCCACAGTCCCACGATACAGTAACTCAGTCTAACAGCTTCAAACTGTCCAGGACTTCAGTCACTTGGAGCTGAATCTCTGTGCTTTAAACTTTAGTGTCTCTCTGTTTCCTGATCCCTTCCTCTGTTTCCTCTTGGTGGATCAAGTTAAACGTGTTCCACAGTGAACCTGCTGGAGGCTTTTAGTGTGAGTCATCTAAATGAGACGCTACGTGTTTGTCACCAAGTAAGCAGAGCGTTGTTAGCGTGCTGCTCTTTATTCACAGCATGTGGACACATTCTGGACTGGTTTCAAAATAAAACTATTCATGAAAACTATTTAAAATAAAACGTTTTCCTTCTCTTCCACAACATGTGTAGACATGGCTTCTGCAAACTATGGTCCATCTGAAGATCAGTTCCTGTGCTCCATCTGTCTGGATGTGTTCACTGATCCAGTCACCACACCATGTGGACACAACTTCTGCATGAACTGCATCAATGAACACTGGAACACCAGCGACCAGAACCTGTGTCCAATGTGTAACAAGGACTTCATCACCAGACCTGATTTGAGGGTCAACACCTTCATCTCTGAGATGGTTGTTCAGTTCAGACAGTCTGCTCAGCAGAAAGCCAGCAGCAGCAGCTCAGAGAAACAAGAGTCCAAACCAGGAGAAGTTCCCTGTGACGTCTGCACTGGAACCAAAGTGAAGGCCCTCAAGTCCTGCCTGGTGTGTCTGGTCTCCTACTGTGAGACTCACCTGGAGCCTCATCTGACAGCTTTACGCCTGAAGACACATCAGCTGATGGACCCTGTGGAGAACCTGGAAGGCAGGATGTGTACGAAGCACGATAAACCTCTGGAGCTGTTCTGTAAGAGCGACCAGACGTGTGTCTGCGCGCTCTGCAGTGTTTTAGACCACAAGAACCATGATGTTGTTCCTCTGGAAGAAGAATATGAAGAAAAGAAGGTCGAGCTGAAGAAGACAGAGGCTGAAATCCAGCAGATGATCCAGAAGAGAAGAGTGAAGATTCAGGAGATCAAACACTCGGTTGACCTCAGTGAGGAGGATGCAGGCAGAGAGAAAGCAGAAGGTGTTCAGGTCTTCACTGATCTGATGGAGTCTGTTGAAAGAGGCTTGAAGGAGCTCCTCAAAACAATAGAAGAGAAGCAGGAAGCCACAAAGAAACAGGCTGAAGCTTTCATCAGAGAGCTGGAAGAGGAAATCTCTGAGCTGATGAAGAGGAGCGCTGAGGTGGAGCAGCTCTCTCTCCCTGAAGACCACCTCCATCTTCTCCAGTCCTCAAACATCCATCAGCCACCACCCACCAAGGACTGGACAGAGGTCAGTGTTTGTCCTTCATATGAGGGGACTGTGGTGAGAGCTGTGTCTCAGCTGGAGGAGACACTCAGTAAGAAGATGAAGAAGTGGTTTGCTGAGCTGAAGACGGTCCAGATGTTTGCAGTGGATCTGACTCTTGATCCTGAAACAGCTCATCCTCTACTCATCCTGTCTGACGATGGGAAACAAGTGAAATGTGGTGATGTGAACAAGAAGCTCCCAAACAACCCAGAGAGATTTTCTATTTGGCTCTGTGTTTTAACAAAGCAGAGTTTCTCTTCAGGCAGATTCTACTTTGAGGTTCAGGTTGAAGGAAAGACTGACTGGGATTTAGGAGTGATCAGAGAGTCAGTCGACAGGAAGGGAATCATCTCACAGAGTCCTCAGAATGGTTACTGGATCATATGTTTGATAAATGGAAATAAATACAAAGCCTCTGATGGTCCTTCAGTTGTTCTCTCTGTGAAGTCTGGTCCTCAGAAGGTGGGGGTGTTTGTGGACTATGAGGAGGGTGTGGTCTCCTTTTATGACGTAGAAGCTGCAGCTCTCATCTACTCCTTCACTGGCTGCTCCTTCACTGAGAAGCTCTTCCCGTTCTTCAGTCCTGGTGATAATTACGATGTTAGAAACTCTGCTCCTCTGATCATCTCTCCTGTCGGAGTAAATTAATCATTCTCTGATTTCATGTGATGATTTTATTCATTAAAGGGAATAAATGTACATATTTTATATAAATACTGTATGTTTTTCTCTTTATTTCTGTATCATGACGCCTTATGGAGAATATCTATTTCAACCTTTTGAATCCAGACTGTTTTATTTTCACTAAATATCCAAAGCTGAAGTTTGACTTTGAGTAAATCAGCAAAACAAATTATATCTGATGTGAAGCCTCTGAAAACATGTTGTTGAATATTTAATATTCTCATAAACGCCTCTGACCTTTCCATCATGTTCACAGAATACACTTTGTGTTGTTATTGTGCATGAAAGTGAATTAATAATATAGATGCAAATGTTCGTTTAGTGAGAAAAGCGGTTTGAATTATTTAAAGTTACTTTGGCTCATTTTGATTTGTTTTGTGATTATTTGTAATAAGACTTAAAAATAAAGATGAGTGATTGTTGAAAAAAAGGAAACATACATCTCTTGAACAAGTTACTTTTGCCTCATAAATAA